AAGATTATTTTCATTATTATGAAGTTGAATAAGAAATTGCGTGCGCATTGTGAAGATACAGTGAGAAGTTACAATTTTTGCTTACGACAAGTTCCGTTACAACATGCTTGGACTAAGCTTGTCTGGTGCGCAGGAGTTGGGGGCAAGGTGTGAGAGGTATTGTATGACATGACACGATAGTCATATGGAACTGTTCGATATCAAATTTTGAAAATGTAAAAAAAAATTGTGTCGTAGCACAGCTTAACATAAGCAACATCGCAATGTGTTAGGTAGGTGGAATGTTGCTTGTTGGTTTACATAAATCTGCAAACAATGTATTTAAATGCAGTTTGGCACATTTTATATGCTCGTATAATTATTAAAACATCTGTAAATTAACCTTCATAAAATATGAGACCTGTGGTGTGGCAAAACGGTTAAGTTGTAGCAAAAATTGAAATTCAAGTTATTGGTATTTTCAGATACCTAAGTATGTAATCTTTAAATTTTTGCACACATTGTTTAATAGTTAATGAACTATCGAAATAGTGTTAAATAAACAATTTGTTATAACACTTCCAGAACTAATACTTCGGGACATGATTAATAAGACATTAAACTGTATGGTGAAAAACAATACAGTAGAACCCCTCATTTACGTACGGCACAGGCTCAGAGCCGTTCGTAATTGCGGGTATTCGTAAAATTGTGGTTGACCCAAATTCCTATATATTTGCACTGGTACTATTTACACTGGCATAAACTAGGCCTAGGCTAGGCCCTCAGACCTACGCAGCTAAGTCTGAGGGGACCTAGGCCTACAGTAGGCAGTTTCTAAGCATTCTGATCCCACTCTAGGCCCTACACAAATTTGTTTTTATCGGACGTTTTTACCTTCTTAAATACCTAGATTGTGGATTTTGCTCTAACACAACTTCCATATATACTTGTTTTTTATATATTGATCATTTAATAAAACAATCAAGCACTATATTGACTAGCTGAAAACGATGTTTAAAAGAGAAGTAAAATTTGTCGCATGCACATGTGTGAAGCCATAATAAACACTGAATTTGAAGAGGCCTGTTAGAGGGCCTCCTTCACTTGAGAATTACATAGTACTGTATAGTATGGTATGTTGTGTTGTATGCATGCTAATAACAGTTACAATTCAAGCGGATTTTTTTAAATTTTTTTATTAGCTTCAATTTTCAAGACATCATCACCTTGATTTTACGTTCATAAAATCAGGAATTTCGTTAAATCAGGGTTCGTAATTGAAGGTTTCTACTGTATTGGATTTTTAGGCAATTTATTGAGCTCCCATATTTTGTAGCTCATTTACTCAATACTGGATTGTGCGACAACTTAACCATTTTGCCACGACATGCCGCATATGTATTATAACTTAAATTTGAATTTGACATAACTTATATTGAAATATATGTTGTTCTTTTGCTTGGTAGTTGGTTAGAAATGCATTATCAATGGTCACTTTTATACAGTAGGGCCTGCCACATTAGAAACCGTCCCAAGGTGCTTTTAACCACAAAGACTAAAAATTTAATTAATGAACAGATGTGAAGGGGAGGAGGAAGGTGCACACCTTCGGTTTTGAGATGCCGTCGCCATCACTACCGTGTACACGCAGGTACTGTACCTCGGCGTCAGTATGCTGGGCTCTGGTAGCTTCCACCGAGGGTAAGCCTGCGGCTCGACTACTGTGCACTGCTAAGTTGGCAGTGCCACCTCAAGTCAGGAGGTGCGACTTTTCAGGGTGAAAAACTTAACTACCGGAAATAAAAATGATAAATTGACTAAGTTGCCTCCTAGTCTTTCTAACACCAGGATTTTTGTCTACTCTGACTAAAAAGAATTTACATTAGGGCATACAGAGTTAATTCATTATCATGTACCTGTACTGCCTGAACAACTTGCACAGCTCTAATCTTGGCTGAAAATGATTGATATTTCTTGCTTTAAAGAAAGTTTTACGTAAAATTTTTTGGTTTTAAAAATGTGTCCTTTCTTGGATGATGTAACATTTTATATTATTTTTTAAGATTTTGAAATACGATTTAAGTGTGTGAGGAAAGATCATTCGCAGTAATCATCACCACAATCCCACAAATTGAGTTGGTAAAATAGAGAGTTCGTAATAGGGAGATATTACTGTATACAGTTTATAGCAGTTCATTTCGTGGTACTGGTATGTGCTGTAGTTGGTCAGACCTTGAGTGGTAATGACATTGATCATTATGATGAACATCAACACAACTGGTTCTTTTGTTTTTGTAGATACCCTTGAAGCTGCATCATTTTAAATAGAGCTACAGTATGAGAAAAATATATTAGACCTTGCACTAATTACTATCAAAGGAAGAATGAGATTTACAGTTTAAAAGAAAGCTGAAATGAACAAAGACGACCCAATACTAAAGCTGTATGCTTTAATTCATTCCTTGGAATAATTATTGGATAATAATTTTATATGCTTGCTAATTGACGTACTGTATGCCTTGCCGCCTAGCTCCCATTGTTTGACTTCCCACTTTCAGCAATGCAATCACATGGTGTGATTGTATAGTAAGATTTTGTTAGACAATATTTTTAGCTTGCTTTTTAATCAAATGATTTTTAACAATTAAACAATTACAGTTTGATTACTGTATTTCATAGTACTAGCAAAGCAGAACAAAATAATATACTGTATTCCTAAATATTAAAGAAAAGACACTCTTTAATAAATGGAAACTTTATTTGTTTGTGTTTCTTTGGGAAACAATTATAGAAAGGCCCAGATCATGAGTCTCCTGTAATTTGAGCATTTCTAGCAAGAATTTTTAATAAATTAATAGTCTACCGTTATTCCTTTTTTTTTCTTTTCTTTTTCTTTTTTTTGCTGAAGCTAAATATCACCCCAGGGTTATTTGCTGGGGCAATTCAAAGTAAAATGTTATTGAGATAATACAAACAATATCTACTATACTATCTATATTTTTTTTAAATGAAAAAAATAAAAAATTTTTTTTCCCATAAAAGGCATGTACGCAAGGGTGATAAACTCATAATTGTTTTTATTGGGCCTTATAGCAACTGCTATTTGCTATTACAGAACTGAATTCATGATTTTGGGAGTTTCCTCCGCTGCCTAAAATACTGGAGTCAAGGTCCAAATTGATGAGTTGATTAATTTCATTTTACCAGACCATAAGCAAACAGTGATTTCAACATAAAGCATAAAGCATTATTCCTTGCGTATTATGCAATACCTTGAGAAATTTGTGTCAGTTGTAGAGTATCTGAACAGTAATCAGAAGGTCTTTGGTTCGAATCACGATGGGTACATATGTTTTTCTCAAATGTTTAATATCAACTTAAAGCATGAATACTAATTGTCAATGTAAAATGCCAATTGTGAATAGTGAATGTGATTGCTTACTTTGTAAAATATAAAAAAATCTTAAAAAATCATTTTACACTGATATTAAGAAAAAACTGAATTGTTCAAAGAAGGATCGATGTTTGGATTAAATTAATTCAATTCAATTCAATAATTCTTTATTTATCCCTCATGGGGCAATTTTAAAACAGGACTGAAATACTCAATAAGTTAAAATCATTTATAAACATCGAACAACAATAATATATATAAAACTAAATAAATAGTAAGTGTATAAATATAAATCACCAAAAAACGTACAAAAGAGACCAACCAGAATCATAACTATAAAAATATATGTAAAAAGCTATCGTTATATAGTATTATTATTATTATTATTATTATTATTATTATTATTATTATTATTATTATTAATTATATTGTTATGATTGTTATTGTTTTATTTTTAATAAGTTATTATTGTTGTTGTTGCTATTAGATTTCACTTATAAATGTATAAATATAAATCACCAAAAAACGTACAAAAGAGACCAACCAGAATCATAACTATAAAAATATATGTAAAAAGCTATCGTTATATAGTATTATTTTATTATTATTATTATTATTATTAATTATATTGTTATGATTGTTATTGTTTTATTTTTAATAAGTTATTATTGTTGTTGTTGCTATTAGATTTCACTTTATAATTGCTAATACAGTAGAACCCCTATTAAGGGGACAGAAGAAAAATTGTCCCCTTACTAGGGGTGTCCCCTGACCAGGTGTTGGCCGTAGTGTTAAAATATATACTTTCCCTCATTATGTCTCTTATACACATCTAGATGTGTATAAGAGACAGTGTTTAATAGTTAATGACCTATCAAAA